AGCCGAAAAAATATGCATAAAAATCTGAAAAATATTCTGTTTCCTTGGGTACGTACCCTTGTATGTAGATTCCCAAAACTTTTATGATTCATAATTATGAACAACTAACCTGACTTTCAATTTTGACTGTCACCCAATCTTTAACTGGATGCAAAAAGCTGGCACATAGGGTTTAATATTGATATTGAATTAACGAAATCAAACATTTTCCCTTCTTGGTTACCATAGCAACAGTGTTGTATTTTTCAACAAACGTTATCAATATATGATATTCAACTTTAGTTCTACCAGATAAGTACTATTCAAGGTGAGTCAAATAATATGTTTCCTGAATAAAAGGTAAGTAAATTCCTAAGGCAGCAAAAAAATATCACTTTAAACAACTGGTACATTGTTTCCATGGTTACACTGCAAAGTAACAATTAATCCCAATTTTTCTTATGTTGTCGGTGTTGCAAGGTCCTAAGAATGTTTATGTGCCAGTCATGAATTTTATTGTTTTTCCTGAAGATAGTAGCATTAACCCAACCATGCAACATATTTTGCATGGTTACACTGTGTAACCATGGCAACCATGAAAGTTGTTTTTAGAATAATATTGCCAATACCTAATAACTTAAGGTCAAATATTTTTATTGTTTTTTCTTAGGTTGTTGATTGAGTTTGATCATTTAACACCTATCATTATTGAATATTGAGCGCTTTTCTGCACTTTTCAGCATCTAAAATGTATTCCAAATGTACCCATGGTTACCACTTACTAAGAGATAAATTCTAAATAGTTTCTTTATAGCGTTAGTGGCAACAAGGTGTCAGCCTTTTGTGAGAATGGCTTGTTTGTTTTTCTTAGTCTTTATTAAGGCTTAATAAAGATTCAAAGTAGCTGAAAATCTCAATTTTTCCAACTTTTCTGGATGTTACCATGGCAACCAAGACACATAGCAACGAAATTTTATTTGATATATGTTTCTGGTGTCAAGTTGTAATAATGGGCGAAGTTTCATCAAAATCGGTGACCATGCGTGGCAAAGAAGTTTAAGTGGTCATACGATCATTCTATCATACAAAGAAATTATTATATATGGCTTATTCATTCAAAATTTATCTAATGTCCATGAAATAAATTATTTTAGTACATTTTCAACAGTGAAATACTGTAATTTACTTATTGAATAAAAGTGATATTCTGACACAGTGAGAAAGGATATCAAAGTGGTATTCTCAGTGTGAGAATGTCAGAAGTGCAGCATAACTCTCGATTTTCCTTCCCATTACGAAGAGTGTTTAAAAAAAAATCCCTGGCCTGTTATACATGTAGGATAGAGAGAATAAATGAACCATCCTGACAGAGACTTAAACTGCCAAAGTTTCTCCAAATATGTTCTTAAAAATCCATGCTAACAACGTTTTTCAATCTCGCAATCGCTTAGCTCTGACGTCTCATCCGCTAAATTATGACGTCACAGCCTGACACCATGTTAAGAAACTATAGACAGAGTAAACGGGAAAAATCGAAGAAAATGTAATAAACAAAAAATTCAATGTTTTGTAGATGAATATGGAATTTATTTCACTCGTGAGACAGGATTTTTTTTTATTTTCACTCGTGCTTCGCCATCGTGAAAATATTTTAAAAAATCCTGTCCCAATCATGAAATAGATCTCATATTCATCTACAAAAGATTGAATATCCTCTATCTACCATTTTCTCGTCATATAAACAATGTGATGAATAGTTCGTTGATTTTTTCATATATTGATTTTTAAATCTATAAACAAGTTATAAAAAATGGATATTTATTTTACGGATAAACAAGGTTTAAAATATTGAAAAATGGGTTTTATTGATATTTTTATTTGTGTCTATTTAGGGAAAAAGAGATACAGGTAAGAACTACATTGCCTGGCCGATTTAAAGACAGGTGTGATGCATAAAAAGGTGAGGTGCCATGTGTGGTGCATAAAAAAGGTGTTAATACCCGAGGCTTAAATCGCCTATGGATATTCGTTAGCAAAAAGCTAGTCTTCGCGTGTCATTAAGGTATCAATGTTAAACAACACTGACTATGCTGCTCAACAATGGCACTCATGTCGATCTTTACACTGCAGACCCTTGTTTCATTAAAATATTAATTTATTCCACGATCATTTGATTTTGAACATATTCGAAGTTGCCACTAGCATAATTTACAGGTAAAAGCTCATGAAATTAAACACTTTAAACTTGTAGTGAATTCGTCTTTGAGTTACAAGAAGAGTCTAACGATTATTAGATTGTCAAGTCAAAGATAAAATCATGACCAATGTCAGTATATATATATATATATATATATATATATATATATATATATATATATATATATATATATATATATATATATATATATATATATATATATATATATATATATATATATATATATATATATTAGGGATGGTAATCGAATAAAGAATCGCCAATCGGTTAACCGCAAGACGTTCCGACCGATTAGTCGGTTAATCGTATCAAAAATTCTCGACATAGCTACACTCAAATAAGTAAGACTATAAAGATGTTCATGTAGTATTATTATGCTTATATTTATAGATGATCAGAATACTACATGCATTGTACTTCAATTTTAATGGGCAAAAGAAAAAAAAAAGGGAAAAAAAGAAATGAAAAAATAAGAAATCCATGAAACATTCTGGAGTTGCAGAAGCATTTTATGTTGTTCATTTATTTTATGGTCCATTATGCAGAAGGAAAGTAAGAAATTGTCACCGGCGACAATATGTATACCGATGGACGACTATATGTGTAATGGGGGTAGGTACATATTGCCACCGACGACAATACGAACAGAACGACAATATGTACCGTCACATCCCTTCACACGAAATATTTTCAGAAAAGATGTAACGGAAGTTCATTCTGCATAGTTACCATAATTAAAATTTAGTCTGAATTATCGCTTATCTTACGATGTTTGTTTTAGAGATAATTTGATAGGCAACTGCAAAGGATAGAAGAGGTAAGGTACACATTATAATCAGTTCACAGTATTCAACGATCATTTAATTAAAATCAATAAAGAAACACAGGGCAGGGTGGGTAACGACATGTGTTTAAACAGCAATTAACTCGAAAAGTGACCAATTACCCCCCCCCCCCCTCCCCCGATGTCAATCTGGAGAGCCTTAATTATCTAAGAATCAGCTTAAATAGATTGGTGAACATGCTAACATTTCTGAAAATGTTTTTTTGTATTTTTGAAATTGAATTTTTAGGATATTGCATTCAAATTTACACATTTATTATTTTTTCACGATTAACCGATTACAGATTTTCTAACCCATTACCAACTATATATATATATATATATATATATATATATATATATATATATATATATATATATATATATATATATATATATATATATATATAGTGAAATTGTAGTAAAAGTCCACGGTATAGGTAGGTTATAAATTAAAATAAAATCCAAGATAAACAAACAAGTTCACATTTAATTATTAAATGTGAACTTGTTTGTTTATCTTGGATTTTATTTTAATATATATATATATATATATATATATATATATATATATATATATATATATATATATATATATATATATATATATATATATATATATATATATATATATATATATATATATATATAAATATATATATATATTATATGTATAAGTGGATCATGCTGAATCAAGCACTACAAGGTACCACCCTTTGTGGATATGATAAATACAAACCTTTAGTTGAACATCCTGTCATTAAATTACAGCTACGGTTGTCACATGTACACCTGTACATACACATTATACCGTATCTTGGATATTCACACAATTCAGAGCAGTTTTCTCCATGGTATCCCGGAAGGCATGCTAGAAAAAAGCAATACTGAATCATAATTATATACAATCTTATTATGAATTTATATGAACTATTAAACTCCTCACTTCTGATGTTCGTTGTATAAAAACAACATATAGTAAATGAATACATTCTTTCAAAACAGAAATTCAAATATTTAATCCTTACATTAAAGTCGTATGCAGGCTATCTCCCCTCCCTTCTCTCTCTGTCTGAAAAACTTGATGTGCCCTAAGCTATTTTAATTCATGTTTTCAAAACATGTTCATGGGATCACCGAGCGTCTTTTTACAGAAAGGCATTTAAACCAAATCTCCATAAAACACAAGTGATGTGCTTATCGTGCGATAATATCAGTTTGTTTCATTCTAGATCATATTTCGACATGTTTTGCTAATTTCCCCACATATTTCACAGCATTATTTGAAAACAAAGTTGTCCAGCACTGAAAGAAATACCTAGTTAATTTAACTAGCGTGCCTCGTAAAGCGTTCGTCGTGATTAGTAATCATTCTGTTTACTGGCTAAGATAGTGAGTAGTAGGTGTCCCGTGGAGCGGTAGTCGTATAGAATTACTTGCCCGCGAAAATGAACAAAGAACTGATAAGAGAAGACAGGCTGACCTTCTTGTAACACGCCATTTTGAAGTCGGATGCAAGAGATGCAAGGTTAGTATTTTTATCATTTTTATTGATTTTATAAGGATATTGTGATAACTTCGCAGAAAAAAGTGTTGAATTCATTCAAAGTTATCAGTAATCCTTTACTTTTGAATGTATGAACGTTGAAAAATGTCCACTCTATTATACATGCTTATAGAAACATTTAACACGGCACACAAAAAAGTTTCAGTTTCATAAGGCCTACCCCCCCCCCCCCTCCTCCCTCATCATGGCGTAATTTACGTGATAAATGTAAGGGCACCATATAGTGTGCAAGTCAAAAGGGGGGGATCGACCATATATCTTTTACATTCATGTTTAGCAAATAAACGAGTTCAAATAAGAATTGACATCAAACTCTTTATCATGTACTTCAAAACGGTATATTTTCTTTTATTCCTTATCCATCATGAATTTGTATCGCATAATGTATATATATACGTTCCTTGATCCACCCACACATTTTCGCCTCGTTATGAAAACAAAATGGCTGCGCCCATGAGTGTGTACAAGTCGACAATCACAATGTTTTCTCCCAGTTTTAGTTGGGATTATTCCTACTTGAAATTTTTCTACCCAAGGTAACTTTATTTCTGTATTCTATGTATTTGTTTTTCTGTTGATCTGACTTTTAATTAATATATATATATATATATATATATATATATATATATATATATATATATATATATATATATATATATATATATATATATATATATATATATATATATATATATATATATTAATTATTTATATATATTTTGAAACTCTGCAAATATTCATCATATTGTGTATGCAAACCACACCACTTACGATTATCCTATATTTCTCTATATGAAAAGTCCATTTAGTTTAAAAACTTAAAATGTAATATTTTAATACGTGGTATGTTGTTTCGCTATGTCATAATATGTAAATCTTTATTATTTCAGGGGCTCAGGCTAGTAAACTTGAATCTTAAACTTTCTCACTGTTTGTTTTTAGATGACCCTTCTTTAGTTCGTGTATATGAAAGGGGGAGGGGGGCTAGAACGTTTATTTTAAAAGAAACCTTGGTCCAAGTCATCAACATTATTGAATAAAATGTTTCTTTGTTCAAAATGTAGCTTTGAAACCAGGCAATTTGGGAAGCTTATGAGTCACTATCGTTTTGTACATGCACAGGAAAATGGATTTTCCGTTCTGTGTTCAATTGATGGTTGTGAGAAAAGTTATGGAAATATAGACTCATTTTTAAAACACATTAAGAGAAAACACATTGCATTTCACCAAACACACATGTCAAAATGGAAAGAAGATAACAGAAATGCAGATATTTTGGAATCACTAATGGAAGTAAATGACGAACATGACATTGATTTGAATATGGCAGAAGGGGGAGTAGAAAATCAAGGAATGGATGCTGAAGTTGATTTTCAAAAAAAAATATGTGTATTTCTTCTTCAGTTAAGAGAAAAGTATAAACTTCCAGCAGTTGTCATACCACAAATTGTGAATGAAATCATTATGATAATTTCTCATCATCAAACACATTATTTGAGGTCTCTGAGTCAATTTTTAGACGAAAGGCAAATAGAACAACATGATTCCCTAGCTCTTAAGGCTCTGTTAGAGGAAAGTTCTGAAATTGAAAATGCTTTGAGTAGCTTAGATTCAGAATACAAAATTAACAAATTTGCCAAAACCAAGCTAGGCTTTGTAAAACCAATGGAAATCAGACCTGATAGAGCAAGCAATGATACATACCAATATGTCCCCATTCTTGAAACTTTAAAGTCATTACTAGCACATGATGATATTTTTTCATATGTAATCAACAACCACAAGTCTACAGATACTATTTTGAGAGACTTTTGTGATGGAGATATTTACGCGGAAAATCAATTTTTTGCTGATAATCCAAGTGCAATACAGGTTATGTTTTACTTTGATGAGTTCACAGCAGTTAATCCCCTCGGACATCAAATTAAAAATTATAAAATTTGTGGATTCTATATGCTTCTTGGTAACTTGCCCCCAAAGTTTCGATCCCAACTCTATTGTATACAACTTGTAGTTCTCTGTATGTCTCATACATTGAGGAACAATGGATATAGTTGCATTCTAGAGCCACTCATTAATGATTTACATGTGTTAGAAAATGAGGGAATAGTCATTTCCAAAGGTAATCAAAATTACACACTGTATGGCACAGTAAGTGTTACTATTGCAGATAATCTTGGTGCACACAGTTTAGGTGGCTTTATGGAATCTTTCAACACTCTAAGAAACTGTAGGTTTTGTTTTATATCAAGAGATGACATGCAGATCAAGTTAAACTGCAGTGGGTTCAATTTCAGAACTAAAGAAATGTATGCTGAGCAATTAAGATTAGTGCAGGGTGATGCAAATCTTTCGTCTGTGTATGGCATAAAAGGTGATTGTGCATTGAATAGTTTAAATAATTATCATGTTATAAATGGGATGCCTTCAGACCTTGCCCATTATTTGTTTGAAGGTGTTGCTTGTGATGTAATGACAAACGTCATTAAACACTGTGTAACAGAAGGTTACTTTACCTTAGAATATCTTAATGAGCAGATCACAAGATTAACATTTTCTGAGGTGGACAAGGCAAACAAGCCATCAAAAGTTAACCAAGTATTAAGAAAGTTTAGTGTCAAACAATCAGCATCTCAGAATTGGTGCTTTCTACGTCATTTACCATTACTAGTTGGTAATGTTGTCCCCTTTCATGATGAAAAATGGGAATGTCTCCTGCTTTTAATGGACATGTTGCTTTATGTTTGTGCACCAGCTTTTGACAGGGGACACATTTTAGTTATGAGTGATGTGATTGAAGAGTTTCATGAAAGCTATCGCTCATGTTTTCCAGACGTATCTGTGAAGCCAAAATTTCACTATACACTACACTATCCTCGCTTAACATCATTGTTTGGGCCTTTAATTCATCTTCAGACTCTTCGATTTGAGGGGAAACATAATTATTTTAAAGAACTTGTTTTTAGAACAAAAAATAAAAGGAATATATGCAAATCACTTGCTGAAAGGCATCAATATTATCAGTGCACATTTAACACTGGAAATAATTTCCTCTCAGATAGTCGAATAGAGTCAACAAAGGGGACAACAGTTCCGATTTGTCTTTTAAATGATGATGTTCAGCAACTGCTTGATCAAATTTTGCATGGCAATGAGGTTTTTCTTTGCGAGTCTGTGAAATATTTAGGAATTACCTATGTTAGAAACACTTGTGTAATCACAGGTGTTCATGGTGCACTGTTCCTGTTCAGCAAAATTGTAGACTGTGCTGTAATTCATGGAACTCCCTACTTAATATGTAAAAAACTAAGAACAAGTCGATTTGAAAGGCATTTTCATGCATTTGTTGTTTCAGAAACAAATGATTGTGAAATTCTAAAAATATCAAATCTGACAGAACCAAATCCACTCGGTATCTATGATGATCCTAGATACCAAATAGGTCAAGAAAAACTAGTTGTCCCAAAATACAAAATTATCAATTAAAATTTTGGGTGTTTATTTTTAACATTACATTTAAAAAAAAAATACTCATTTGAATTTTCCTCCTTTTTTGCAGAATTTGGAAATGGAAAGAAAATTTTTAGTTATAAGTTGTAAGAACCAAAACAAAAAAATTGGAGTTGAAAATTTTGATGTGAATGACATAAGAAAAATTGTGAAGGACAGATTTTTCATTGAAAATCCACACATTACTTATTTCGACAATGATGTTGATGACTGGGTGGACCTGGATCCCGAAAGTAATGAGTATTTGAGAGACTTGAAAGTACTAAAAGTTAAAGTACATGTAGTTGATGAAGCTCCAACAGTGATAGAGCCTAAGCAAGATTCATGTAGCAGTAATGAAAATGAGAATAATATACCCCCACTGCCTCCTCTTCCTTCCTTGCCAAGTACAAGTCAACAACAGGAACAGAATGTGATAAAAGAGAAAACGCCTACTCCTAGCGTGCCGAAGGAAATGCAAAAGAAGTTAACAAGGTTACTTGTTTTAATCATAAATTCAAGGTTATAACAAAAAAATTGAAATTTATATGAAGTTATGCATTTTTACACAATTTTAAGAAGAAGCAGTTTATATCTTCATCTTTATGCAGTTAGCTTCTCTGACATGGGATATTTAAGTTAATGCATCAAATTTCCTTTTGTAGCAAGAGTTGGAGTAAAATCTACCGAGTTCCTAAGGGAAACTTTGCCAGAGGGGTGGTTGATAAACTTGGTGCAGAGGAGGAGCTGTCATCCAGTGAAAGGAAAAATATGCTTGAAGCTATATATAACGATGTTACAAAGTTTGATGGTGGAATGTAAGCAATTTTTTTATTATAATATTTTCATTCAAATTATAAAAATGAAAAAAGAAAAAAAAACATTTTGCTGTATCAAATTAAGGCATCATTACATACATTGAAAGAATTTTTGCCATCCATGTTCTTTAATGATAACTCATATATTGATAAAGGTACCCTACATCAGATATGTATGACGACATTGTGGATGGTTTGCTGAGAGAATATCCATACTTACTCACAGTGGGAGGACTGCCAGCAAATTCTGCGAGGGTAATTAAAAAAGTATTATTGCTTCCCAGAAGCTGAAAATCTAACATACACCCCTTCGTTAAAATGTTTAGTACTTTTGAAATATCAGAAAAATTTGATGCATCAAAAATAATAAATGTTTTCTTGACTTTTTTGTACTTAAAAAATCTTAAAATTCGCTTTCTCTAAATTTAGACTTTCTGGAAAGATCGAATCATCTATAAATTTGGAAATGCAAGAAAAACTGTGGACAAAAGTCACCAAGAAGTAGTACAGAAAAAAAGAAAAAAGGAGCAAAAAATGGAGGCCATGAAAGATTTGAAACAGTTTACTTGGGGTTTAGGAAATTTTCTTCCTAAACAATCTCCCAGTGAAGATGAGACTTCAATAAAACTTCATGTTTCATGGTTGAAAAGGGAAAACAAGAAAAGTATTGATATTGATCACCAAAATGTCAAAGTGAAAATGGACATAACGTTTCCATACAGGCGCAGCCTTATTGTGAATGACAAGCTTGCAGTGAGTGAAGTTGTCGATGCTTTTCCTTGGCTTGGATCCTATAGAGAGGTAATTTGGTTTTAAGTCCATTTGACCTCATCTTTAGACCCCTTTTAATGAAATGACAGGTTAATCAAATTTTCATTTAAAATAGTGTTAAAATGTTGATTATGGTATCGAGCATACCTTTTTTTTCAGATTCTTGATGAGTTCAAAAGATTGTGCCCCAACACAGTAACAGATGACATTGAAGAACTAATGGGAGAAAGCCTAAGGAAGTACCGGAAGGCAGTACTGAAAGTAAACACTGGAAAGAAAAAACCAACCTTCCTGAAAGAAATAGAACATACTTCGGCCCAATACAGAACTGAAAGTCAGAGAAATTGTAAGTCATTATTGTAAGATTAAAAATTTCTTCAAATACTGTTTGAGGAATTAGATTCAGTGTACCATGATATACACTTGTATAATAAGTCTATCATCACTATGGTCCACTCTGATAGGCATTGGGTTCATAGAATACATTTTGTTTTTCAGATGCTGATGACTGCATAGCAATAATAGGATTATTTCTATTGTGCAAAGAGAACCCTGAAAAAATTCTTCTTTTTTCAAGAGGACCGACTGCATGCACCCCCATGGCAATAGGAATTAAAATTAATCAGAACATTTTGTCCATGGACAATGAAGCATTTGAAATACTATTGGAAAATGAAAGTGTATTCAAATGTGAGAATTTTTTCCAAGCTTTTTGTGGGTTAATTGCTACAATTTATGTATTTAACATTGCATACCCAAAACCTGTTGAGAAAACATTCATGTTTTTTCAACAGGTCATGATAGGGTTGAAAGATGAGGGAGGACATCACAACATCGATAAAAGAATTTTAGGGGTTCTGACAAACATCAACAGAGAGTTGAAAAACATTTAAGTTCGAATGATTTGTTTGGTTACCCTCATTTTCTAAGATGTTTTACTTGGAAAATTGTTTTCTACTGTTAATGAAGATTTTCCAGTTTTAACACATTTCATCATCTTTCTCTGTGTGTGTGTGTGTGTGTGTGAGAGAGAGAGAGAGATGTATTACCAATTATTAGATGTTTTCATAATTGTAGAATATTTTGGGACTTCAATCAAACCAGTCCATTTTTCTTAACATTCAGACCTAGGTTGTATAGAATATGTATTGACTATTAATTTTTTGATCATATCATAATTAGAGAGAGAGAGAGAGAGAGAGAACAGGAGAGAGATGAGAGATTTTTTTTATTGATCTATTGGCTTAATAGTATGTATGTGTACTTCATTTTTTACATAAATTAAGGATTAAAAAATAAATTTGATTCCATGTAAATTATATTTATTTTCATTTCTTGATTATAAGAGGTATATTAGTTGTGAAACAACTGAGTGGAAGATAAGGAAGTATAAGTACCAATGAATTAGTATATTTACAAAGTGCATAGTAGTTTACTGAACAGTGTAGTAAATTTACCCGCCAACTCTAGTAGGTCTACCTACTAGTCTACTGAAAGCTACTTTTAAAGACTAGTAAATTTACAAATGGGATCTAGTAGATCTACCCAATACCTAGTGAAAGTTACTTATAAAATCTAGTAAATTTACTAATAGTATCTAGTAAGTCTTCCCAATACCTAGTGAAAGTTACTTATAAAATCTAGTAAATTTACTAATAGTATCTAGTAAATCTACCCAATACCTAGTAAAAACTACTTTTAAGGTAGTGATTGTATGGACAGTAAATTTACTAGTTTTCTTAGTGACTTTTACTAGTTATTTTTTTCAGTGAGTGTGTTTGTTTTATTAAAACTTAAGCCATATATAAATGATTGAATTATCTTTCTGACTGTTTGATATTACACTTTTTATTTTATTTTTTTTTAATCATATATCAATATTTTGTTTCAATACCTTGACCTTTGGTTAATATATACCAATATCAAAAATTCGATTTATATTTTAATCACATAATCACAGTACCTATACACGTGCTCAGTGAATTGCTCCATACAGTTCCAGAACAGCATCCATTATAACTATCAATGAAAGTGAAGACGTATTGTGATAAATTTTTCCCTAGGGTTTTCTATGTAATTTTAATTTTAAGGATCATTAGGAACTAAAATACTTCAACTTTTCATATATGCTATAGGAAACACAAGCAGATGTTCCAAATACAAACCTCCCTTTGCAAGGACCCTTCTGTGCTGAACTCCAGCAAAGTTGAATATAAACAAAAATCTTTAAGGAAGTTGTCATGTCTGCTTGTATTATTCCGTTGTAGAATATTTATAAAGCCATTTCATTTTTTTTTCCTGTCCTGTTCTCAACTCTCAAACTCTTGAAAGTTAACATGGATATAATTAATGGAAGTTTGCGATATATTTACGTCCTTACACAATGTAACTTCCCAAACTCATCCGATGAGGAAGTCATACTATATATCAAGTACTTAATCGAATTATTCCTATGTTAACAAAAGTTACAAAAAGTGATAGATGGAACTCTTCATGAATAATTATAGCTTTTGCCTAGTCATTAAATTCAGATTTAGCAATAATCTATTCTTCCAACCTGAAAATCACTTCACCAGAGTAAATTGTTTTGTTGATAATTTATGTTCTTTTGAGAATTTCTCTCTTGTATTAATGCGACCCCACCAGTTTCTGGTGAAACGTAGCAGTAAGAGCTGTACTAAGCACTTATGACGATGAACAGAGAGGAATCTTTTTCATGACAGGATCTACTGCGACGAGGGACGTAGTTTACACACTCAGCCGTGTCACATGTCAATATGTCTTGTAGCGGGGTTTGAACCAGGAACCATAGGATCACATGTCTTCCGGATTTTAAAATAAGACGCCGTAACCACTCACTGTGGCACGTGAACATCACAGTACCTAAGGCATACAGGTACTCAAGTTGCAAAGTAAGGCAAATAAAGTAAGACACACTAATAGCGAATACGCTTATAATTAATTGACACTTTAATCGAAGTTATTCTGGCTTTAAAATATATTTTAAACTTAAGGTAACTGATGTTACAGCTGCGAATTATGTTTAAAACGAAGCAAAATCGCCCATCCCTGGAACCTTGTTATATGCCTTTTTTAATCTAATATACAATAAACTGATATGTGCTGCCCAGTATCCATATAAAAATGTATCTAGACCTATCAATGATAATCTTATTTTTTAATAAATTATGTATACACAGGTTTTTTGTGCATAGGAAACTATGAATATATAGATATGTTTTATGCTTTAATAATTCTCATATTTGACAACCTGCAAAAAAGGCTTTATATATCTTTCAGGAATGTTTCTTTTTAGTCTTTAATCATAAGAGAAGATTGTAGGAATTTTAGTGCTGCAAACACTTGAATTAAAATACATTGTACTTACTTTTCTTAGTTTATGGAGTGTTGCATATTAGTCGCAATTTATCAATATTTAATTCTCAACAGGTTCGACTATAAATATGTAAATATTTAAAGCATACGGTGTGCAGGTATGTTATACGATAATTATTTAAAGTAAAATTTATGAAACTGAATTTTTTTAGAAGTTTCTCAAGGACAGAAATGAATATAAATCATCATGTCAAATATGTAGAGATTCTAAACGAAACATGCATGTTCTTTGGAATACAATATAAAGTGATCTCTCTTGAGAATAAACTCACTAATTAAAAAAAGAAAGACTCATGCTATATCCCAGGATTTTTAACATTCCCATACCTTTGGCCACTGTAATATCAAGTGATCTTCAAATATCAAAGATTAAAAAAAATCTTTTTAGATGTAACTGTAAGGATACAATATCATCAAGTTTGTACATGACTACAGTACTATCAAAGGTAAGAGAACATATTTCCCTCTATGTTGATAATTGCTTACAAATTGACACATATTGATATTCTTTAGCCCGAAAACAGTATCAACTGGAAACCGTTCACTTTGAGAATAAAAAACCCAGACAAGTATTTGTTTGTTTTGATTCAGGAACAATGTTATTAAAAATGTATCATGCTCCGACTTTTAGAACTGTCAATAACTCTTCAAAAAAGACACATGTATGATCATTAGCAAATGCTTATTGTTTGGTAAAGCTGTAAAGTTACTCCTATTAACAAACATACTGATGATTGCATGGACCTTTCTGAGCTTGACTCCAACCATTTTGGACGAAAACAAATGGCAGAAAAATAGCAAGCATACTGATAACACTGTGCGACTTTAGGATGAAATCAATTATTGTCAAACTAAACACTTTCCTTCCTGTTCCGTTTTCACACAATCACCCACAGAAAAAAGACAGCACATGACCTCATCGGGGAAAATGTTATAAATTATTTAAGACAACATGATTTTTTATCAATATTTTCCCTGTTATTTGTATATTAGGGAAAAACTTTCATTTACGATTTACTATTGAAATCAGATTTGAGAGAGAGTAAAAGATAGGGGCGGGAGAGAGGTGGAGATAGGGGGTTACATATTCACGGTACATATTGTCGTTATGTACATTTTGTCGTCGGCGACAATATGTACCTACACTCACTGCATACACTGTGGTCCATCGGTATATATTGTCGCCGGCGACAATATGTACCGAGACGAGCCTTTTTCTTCCTACATAAGCTGAAATAGGCTGTTCCGATCACATTTTGTCTGTCGTCTGTCTGTCCGTCCTTCTGTAAACTTTTTCTCATTTTCACCTTCTTCTCAATAACTGCTGAGCCAATTTCAACCAAACTTGCCACAAAGCATCCGTGAAAGGGATTCAAGTTTGTTCAAATGAAAGGTCATGTCCTTTTTCAAGGGAAATATTTAAGGATAAGTGAAATTTTAGTGACATCTTTAAAAAAATTCTCAAGAACCACTGTGTCAGAAAAGTTGAAATTTACGTGAAAGCCTCATTATAAAGTGTAGATTAAGTGGTATTCAGATCATGTCCCTAGGGGAAGGGTGGAGCTACAATAGGTGTGAACAAAGTTTTTCATGGAATATATATGAAAAAAAAAAATCTTTCAAAATCTTCTCAATAACTATTTGGTCACAAGAGATGATACTTATGTGAAAGCTTCATTACATAATGTACGTTCAATTTTTTAGGTGCGAAAACGATCACTCACTGCTCAATGGCATTGAGTGCCGAGTATATGTTTCAGTTTGTAGCCCTCCTCCGGAAGTGGTAGCGTCTCAATATGGGTGAAAAATTCTCGAGAGGGATGTTAAACAAAGTAGAAACAAACAAAAAGACAATCAATTTTGCTAAAATTATGACCCCCAGGGGTAGGATGGGGCCGCCCCCATACCCTTGCATATACACTCAATTTAATCCACGTGTAAATTTTCATAATTTTAAAAATATTTACTTAACATGCACACCTTGACACTCATATGATTTTAATTTGGCTTGTAAAAAAAAATACTAACACCCCCCCCCCCCCCACACACACACACACACCCGTTATGACATTTCTGGACCCACCACTAAGAACAGCAGTAGGACCGTGATTAGTGATGTTTAGTCGGAAGCATCCTCAGGTACTAAGAATTCAAGTATTTTTCAATCATGGCCTCTGGGTTAAGGTGGGACCACAAAGGGCGTTCAAAGTTTTACATAGGAACATTCTTTAAAAATGTTCTTCTCAAAAAAAGCAAAGCAATGAATAAGCATATTTATGTACATATATACATGTATGACATTACCTTGCATTTTAATGCAACATGCACTGATGGGCGACAATAAGCGCAGTGATAATAGGTACATGTACACATTGTCACCGGCGACAAAATGAACAGGACGACAAAATACACTGACACAATTACGCTTGAATAGAATTCGTATGATTTACACACCAATTACATTCACAAAAATACTTAAAAAACAAAAAATCTTTAAGCAACAATATCTGTGAGGCGACAAAATTTGCAGTGAGGGTAAGGTACACAATGTCGCCAGGGACAATATGTACATTTGTAACTTTTCAGACGGTGACAATATTACCGACGGACAACAATATGTGCAGTGAG